GACCGCATGTTGAAGCGTGCCAAGGAAACGGGTGTTCCATATGAGGCAATAATGAAAGTATGTTTTGTCTACCTTTGTTGCTTGGCGATTTCCTTGGCCGTTCATTAGGATATGCGCTTCTGGTAATGCCCCCAGGAATATCAGGTCCGACGACAGAAACGGTTGGAGAAGAACAAGCCCAAAGACCTGGAGGATTACCTAGGATCTGAGCCAGGCGAGGGTGAGGGTGCCCACTTCCTGGATGTGCGTTCTTCTCATACATGGCTTCTTTGCTTTTCTGCTCGCCTTTGTCGATATTAGCGTAAGGTTGTGTCTCTGTGACGCAGATTCGACTGCTCAAATGCTCACCGAGGTCAGACGAATTGGAGGCAACTCTGGATGAGGAGTTCAGACTCTACTCGGCGTATCAGGTGGCTGTGCACAAGGATGCGCCGGAGGACCTAAAACGAGACGACTTCATTGGGTATTTGGTGGACACGTTGATAGTGGTAAGATCTGTGGCATGGAGAGTGTGCATTGGTTGGTGGGAGGAGTGGGTGAGTGAGTGATTGAATTTGTTAGGGTGGGAATGACGCGGATGCGGAGGCGTGTGGTGCTCCACAAGTTGGAACCTATCATCAGCAGTACTGGTTGGACGGGAAGAAGTTGATTGCGGTGGGCGTGTTGGACCTTGTTCCGGGTGGTCTCTCCTCGGTGTATTTTTTCTACGACACAGGCTACAATTTTCTTCGTCTGGGCATATACTCGGCTCTGCGGTGAGTGGTGCCTTTCTCTCGACACGTGTTTGGGTGGGTGGGATGGGGATTGTGGTCTGAAGAGGAGATGTTTTGTTGCAGAGAAATAGCGTTTGTTCGTGACCTGCATCGCACATTTGGATCGCGAGTGGCGGCATACGCTGAAGCGATGCAATACACATTGGGGTCCTACGTGCACTCGTGTGCAAAGATGCGTTATAAGACGCAGTTTTCACCGTCGTATCTCGTGTGTCCGGAGACGTACACAATGGTGCCGGTGGAGAGGTGTCAACGCATGTTAGATGGAGGGAGGTGTACTCGGTTTGCAGAGGCAGATGTGGAAAATGCACCACCTGTTAGTTGGAACAATGCGGCTCTTCTT